CGGGGCAGGGCGAGACGGGGGGCGCGGGGAGCCGCACCTGCCGCCGCCTCCGGCCAGGACAGCGCGTCTAGAGACCGTCAGAGCACCTCTGCGGTGACTGCTGCCGGGCTCTGCCCGGACACCCCCAGGGCCAGGACTCCCTTGAGAGGAGGGAGACGGGAACACGTTACTTAGGACAGCAAAATGGAAAGGATGGTGCACAGATGAACTGGGATTCGAGGGACAGTGTTCCGGGGGCAGCATACACCAGAGGGAGATACCCTGTTGGTCCAATTCTAGCACTAACTACTGCTGAAACTGTACCAGTGGTGCACATGGAAACCTGGCCCAAGTGTTCCTCTACACCAGGACAGCAGCAGAGACGTAGGTTAAGCCTGTTTAGAAGCTTGTGAAAGGAGCAGTTTTTCTCAGGAGCATCAAGCACACAGGTTTGACAGTCTCATAAAGCATTTCCCACACCAGCACTTGTTGCACGTGCCCAGTCAGGTGTTGAACTCCAAAGAGGCTAATGACATTCTTTGCATCCTCTGCTGAAACATTCTACAGCAGCACAGTCGAGGTGGAAGGCTGTGGCAAAGTGTTGGTTACAGAGCAACCGACAGCCCAATGTGCCTGGCAATTCATCCCAACCTTTCCAGAGGCATAGCACAAGGGGTAAAATTAAGCATTGCAGCACTCAAGATCTCCACAGGGTCCTACCTATTAGCAAACTTCTTTTCTCTGCACACATGGTCACAGAGGGAGATCTAAGGGGACACAGAAATTACTTCTTTTAAACAGGTATATAGAGGATTTCTCAGTTACATTTCTTTTTATTCCCATATGCTGGTGCTGCTTGTTATATTGCCAGCTGCCATACAGCTGATTCGGCAGAACTACTTGAGAAGCACTAACCAGATATTCTGGTGGGAAGGGACTTGAGCAGCCTTGGTTTGCCTTGGCATAAGCAAATATTCTTCTGGAGTTTTATTCAAATTTCTTGCATTTATTTGCCAGCCAGCTGCACAGGCCACCTTTCACTTTTGAAAGGTTCAAATAACCAAGACAAGAAGTGGCTGTAGACAGGTGTAGAGACAGTGCTACATTACCCCAGTACTGGTACCTTCCCTTTTTCCACCCACCAGCCCATATCTTGAACTACCAGATCCAAGCAGACTACAAAGGCAGCAATCTTTATTTTCTGACACATTAAATTCTCATCTTAAAACATTTTTAAAAACTCAAAACATAAAAGCATTTTAAAGAGTTCCAAATGTAAGTTCCTGATAAACAGTAAAAGAGGGCAAATGATCAGCAACATGATGTTCAAATCCCCAGGCAGAAAACACTCTTCCCAATTTTCTTTGGCCTCTAACCTTTACTTTCTTGTAATAACTGTGGTCTCCTGGGCCCTTCTGCATTGTAGCCTTGAATCCAGGCATCAGAGCAATTGTGCAATCCTGAGGGAAAGTCCTGAAAAATGCTCATTGGAACAAGTTGCAGCTCATGTATATGGGGGTGGCTCATCAAGTCTCACCCAACCCTCAATTAGGTGACACTGCTTTGCACACAAACATATCTTCCTGTAACAAGGCTCTTCTCATTGTCACCTTTTGAGGAGGGAATAGAAACGTGGAAATCAGGCCCTGCACTCTCTCTCTTGGTGGCTAGCAGTTGCATGACATGGGGCGAGCAGTTCTCACCGCCCACTACTCCCATTTCCCAAACATGTACTCCCACTATTCCACTCATATGGACTATGGGTTCAACTGTTCCACAAACTAGTTAACTTAACCCACCTAACAGAGGGCAAAGTACTAGGGGGAACTGTTTTCTACCAGATGCAAGCTACACCATAAGTAAGGAGGTAGTCACACAACTGGAGGGAGATCAAGCCTGCCCTTCAACTGCAGTAAGCCATTATACTATGTCAGTTGCTCATGAAGCCTCAACTTGGGCTGCAAATTTCTGAACTTGTTTGTAGCTCCCCAGACTGAACAGGTACTTGTAGATAACATTTCAACCCTTACAGCATCAGGCTTTATTTGCCCTAGTGCTAAGGGGAAACTGGCATGCTGCTTCTCAAGAGGGATTTAACAGATGAAAAACAGCTCAAAGAGCTAGTGATTCAACCCAGAAAAGAAATTTAAGGCATTAATAATACATTCATCTTGATTCCTAACAAGCTGCAGCTCACACTGCTGGCACTAAGCATAACCTGACACAGTTTATGTTCAGAGAGAACAAAGAGTAATGCCACACTGCAGTCAGAGCCTCTAAAACAAAAACACAGCAAAAAGCAGAGCTGGATAGGAAAAGAGGGCTTTATCTCCTCTGCCTCCTTACCATTCCCACCAAGTGAAATGTCATAACCTCCATGCAGTCAAGTTTCTGCACAACTCCACTCCTCAGCTACACTCCCAATGAAAGCACTATAATGTGCCACAGCAGTACTATAGACCTTGGTCTTTCTGACAACAGCCCTCAACTTGCAACTGCAAGCAAAAACTGTTACTCAACTATGAGGATGTATTTAGACTCTGCTTCTCTAAGTAGTCTGGTTAGTCGCCTCAACAGGAGTGCAAGGAAGAGGAAGGTAGGTATTTATTGCAAGGTGAAACCATAAAAGAAAACAGGAAAGAGGAACCCTGTCACACTGCAAGAGTTAACTTGAAATGCCAGGTGGGGTTGGGGATTACAGCCACAGTTTGAATCCTTGTTGTTGTTGTTACAGTAACTAGTCAAAAGCAAGTTACAATTCTTGCCATTTCACAGGTATCAAGAGTTAAACTGGCTGAAAAATGAGGTTAAGATACAGAATGATTTATCTTTCTTCTACTACATGGGCAGGAAACCAAAAAATAAAAATCACTGCCAGCCTTTTAAAATAAGACTGTAGAAAATACAAGTCTTGGAGGTCACCCTGGTGGTGCCAATAACACCAGCTCAAGGATGGTTCCAAATTAGGGCGCTAAACCAGAATTAGAAATAAAACGGGGAAACGTCCAACCATTTTCCCACATCCCTACACTGGAGCTGCCTGCCCCACAATGGGCTAGGGGAGGTAGCATTCCAGGCAGGCTTGACATCCATAATGTCCACATGCCCATCCAAGCCATTCTGATGAGCAGATGGGTTACAAATTCCAAAGCAAACATCCTCAGTCACTTTCAAACTTGACAGAATTGACTTGGGTTGATATAGCGCCCCCACGGTAGCTGCCTCGTTTTTTCTTTGTCTTCTCATGGCGGAAAGATTTGCCTTTAGTGTATTTCAGGATATTGTTAGCCTTCTCGCCCCAGTCACCAGCTGCTCCTTTCTGTGAGGGATGAACGGGGAGAACAAAAAAAATTCGTCAGTACCCAAGAGGGTAAAGGCAACGCTCTGCACTTCACCCTACCCAGCAAACACCAGTACACTAAACCTGGAGCTGATACCACTCTCCCATGCACCTCCTGCCAGTGCTCACGCGCTTCTTAACAGCTCCCCCAGGTGGAAAAAGTTCTCACTAAAAAGACTTCCCGCAGAGCAAGGCTGCTCTGCAGACGTGTACTTGCAGAGATTAAGTGTTACCACTCCAGAAACTACCTAGTCCTACCTTTGCTTCAAATGAGTTATCAGCAACACGGGCATCCACCTCAATCTCTTCTTCCCTCACACGGCGGAACGGAGAGGCTGCCTGTTGAGAAAGGAAAACAGATACAGTAAGCACATACAAATGCACAGTATTCCCTCAGTGACAATCTCCTTCCTTGCCCTGCAAATAGAGAGTCCTGTTCAAGTTCCTGTGCAAGTATATCCAAGCAGCTTTTGCCAGAATAATATTATGTAAATATGTGCACTCCCTAGGGTTCTCCAGACAAGGTTGAAGTACTTGAGGAGGGAGTAAAAATACAGATAATCCTGTGGGCCCAGCCTCCCTCAGAAAAACCCAAACAAGCCTACTTGTTCAGAAGGCAGAGATGCCTCTCCCAGCAGTCGCCACAGTCCACCCTCACTCACCCGTTTCACCTTGGGAACTGTGTGTGGTGTTTTGACTTTGACCTTTGCTTTTTTATTGTGTGGTGTCTCTGCCTCCTGAGCATCTTCCATCTTCTGTTTCTTCTTGATTGGGCCTGTTAGATATACAGCAGTAAAACATCAAAGGGAGTAAGTGCAGTGGTGGGAAAAGTAATGGGGTCTCTCCCACAGCAAGTAAACTCAATGTTGATACAGGTATGAGAATTGGTCCCTGCATTCCTTCACCCAGAAAACAGACTGCTGTAACAGACACTAACAGTCATTCTGGGTCAGCAAGGCTCTTCCCATCTCATCCTAATAGATTAAAGTAATTTTATAGAATAGCGTACCTCTGTATTAATGATTTTGTGTACTTGAGAAAGTTCTGTTTCCAGGGTTTGGAGTCATACCATATGCACTTGCGCACATCACTCGTGCAAAGTTGTTTTCCTCCTGAGAGTTGAAGACTGAGATTGTGCATTGGGGCCTCAACTGTGGTGTCCCACCCTACACAGCAGTCTACTTTACTGTCACTTACAAACTTGTTGCCAGTTGCCAACTGTGCATGCACAACTATACAGACATGTACTTCACATCACCACAAATTCCACTGCCAGCAGCTATGCAATTCAGACAAAAAGAATCACAGCAAATTCAAACCCAGCCCTTCCCTCTCTGTACTGCACCAGATGGCATAATCCACTAGCACAGAGAGATTAGACCAAATTTTGTTTAAGTCTCCTACTCATGCTTAGCTCAGTAACACTGCCCAACAGACCCACTTCCCAGGCTGTAGGTAATACCTCCATTGACTTTTCCAGTCTCTTCTTCAGAGCTGCTTTCACTGCTACTACTGCTGCCACCAGCTGGCTTAGACTTCATGTTGTTTGCTGCTGTTGCTGATGGTTTTGCTGTAGAGGCAGGGGCCTTAGAACCATTCTGTGCTCCTTTCCCTGCCTTTTTGGGCTTCTCATCCTCTTCACTGGAACTATCTGAGCTGCTGCTACTACTAGAAGCACTTGCCTTCTTCCCCACAGCTGCTTTTGCAGCCCCTGTGAATTTGGCAGCTGGTTTCACTGCTGGCTTCTTTTCTTCTTCACTGCTTGAGCTATCAGAGTCAGATGTGTCTGCTTTGGGAGCTTGAGTAGAAGGTTTAGATGCTGGTTTAGCCACTTTTTTGGCTAATTTAGCTGGAGGGCCTTTATTCTTCTTCTCATCCTCAGAACTGCTGGAGCTGCTATCTGAATCAGAGCTGCTCTGTGCTTTCTTTGTGGCAGCTTGTGTCTTCTTTGCTACAGGGGTTGCTGCTTTAGGTGTGGGCTTCACAGGAGCTGCCTTCTTGTTAGAACTATCAGAATCTAGAATGGAAAGAAAAAGAATAAGGCTAAGTAAGTCCCATTCCTTCAATATGAAGCTAACATACAGATTTAATGCTGATACATGGTGCACTTCATCAGCTGCTTAAAACAACACTGCAGTGGGTATTCCTGACCAATCACACCCTCAGACCCTGCTTGGAAACAGAGAGGTCTGGGCAAGAACCACAAGTCAGTGGAAATTCTTTTCTCCCACCCCACTACCTGAGCTGTCTGAGGAAGAACTGGAGTCTTTCTTAGCTTGTCCAGGTTTGACAACCACTTTCGCTGCTGGTTTGGCAGTATTCTTTATCACAGGTTGTTTAACTGGGAGCTTACTCCCCACCTTCTTCTTGTCATCTTCAGAGCTAGAATCTAAGAGAAAAAAAAAGAAAAAAAGGATGCACTTTAAGTTTATAAGCTTCTGGTGGAAGTTACTTTAGTAGTAACATGTATGCAACTCATGGGGAAGTGAAAAGCAAAATGGCTTGAGGCTCAAGGCTCAGGTGTGAGGTAACTGGCAACAAACAATATCTGATGAACACCTGAATGGTCAGAGGACACCATTCATCTTTCCAGGTATCTTCATTTTGGGAGGAAGTGTAAACAAGCAGTTCTGCACTAACACATGCACAAGAAAGCAGATGTTTGGAGAATAATATAGGAGAAGAGGTACAGAATAAGGGACTGGAGGAAGGACTGGTATCAGCAAGACCAAAGTCAGTGAGAAGAAACACTGAGAAAAGAAGCAATGTGGTAAGGATCAAAAAAAATGGAAGAAATTAGGAAATAAAGTTGACAAAGCATGGAAAGTGAGGCAGCAACAGCACAGTATCTCATTTTAGCTACTTCCTGTATCAGATGAGTTCAGCAGCAGTCTGAGGATGGACTGGAGACTCCTGAGCACAAACACACCTTTGTATTGTGTGTTACAGCAATATGAAATACTAAACTTGATCTATTCCAATATTTCTGAACACTTTAATAATAGCAATGAAAAAACTTGCCCATTTTGAGATAAATCAGTCAACAAAACTAGAAAACAGAACTGCCACTTGCTGATGTCACAGTCTAGTGCTAGCTGTCTGCAGACAAACAGGAGGTGCCACCCACAGTCCCTGCCATGGCATCAGAGATGTTGATATACAACAGGAGCACTCTGAACTTGGAGGGGAAACGTAGCACATAGGAAACTTACATGGGAAATACAGCACTGCAAACCTTAAACCTGATCAAGAGGAGATAAAGAGCACACTGCCCCCATTTCCAGGGTCACATTAGGAGAAGGCATCTTTTTAATCCATTTTGAACTTCATACGGTGATTATGTTTCTGTTTCAGAAACTTCCTCCAAACAGTGGGATAACAGCAACCAAAAATCTTAAGACACAGATCCTCAAAAAGTTTAACCATTAACCTTCTTGGAGAAACCTGATACATGATTCCCCACCCTTTCCATCCAGCAATATGCAGATTTTTTTTGCACTTGCCAATGGTCTCATTGTCTCACGGTCTGCATAGGCTGCTCTTTTTTAATTTCACATCTTGTTATCCATGGAGACTCTAAGCTCATACTCTAAGGATCTTAGATATACCACTATACAGCAACCTGGCCAATAAAAACGTTAAGACAGAAGAATCAAAACTTTATTTCTTGAATTACCTGAGTCACTGTCAGAACTGGATTCAGCCTTCTTGCTAGTAACAGCTTTGTTTTGGGGAGCAGGGACTGTTTTAGCTACTGCTGCTTTGCCTGCAAAAGCAAGTTTAAAATTAACAGGCCACATCCACACCAAACCTTTGTCCTGAGATCCAAACCTTTCCAGATGTGGAAAAGCTCCATTCTCAGTGTACCAGCCATTCAGCCAGCACACTGGAAGCCAAGCAAGAACCAGGTTTATTGTCACTAACTAGATCCTGATGACTTTTCAAATGTGTGCAAAGTTATCCAACCTGCACACAGTTCAGATCCACAAGTTGTACAGTGTTGTTTGGCATCCCTTCAAATTATCAGAAGCTTCCAGAAAAACAAATAGCAACACAGACTAAAGACAAATAGCTTTTTCAAGGAAATCAAGACATTGCCAAAACACCGACAGCACCATGAAGTACTTCCTCTGCAGCCTTCCCTCTTCACAACATACCTGCTTCTCTCTTTGGAGGCACCTGCTCTGCCTCATCACTGCTGTCTGATGAGTCACTGCTCTCATCCTTTTTTGCAGGAGCCTTGACAAGGCCTTTCTTTGCCTGCGTACCTTGTGGAGGTGGTACAGCACTGTACTGACCTATGAAGACAGACACAGCATTCAGGTGTCTGCGTGATAATGTGAGCAGCACAGGTAGGTAGAATAAAGCCTTTCTGCCCCTCAGTTCCATTTATTCTCCTTCTGTAGCTACAATCAAACACACTAGCTTACAATTTGAAAGGTTATACCCACCTCACTGCTACCTTGGGTTTCTACTGTGAGTTTAACTTTCTCTTCAGCTGACCCAACTATCTTTGCAGAAGTTTTCACTGCACTTTCAGAAGAATGGGAGTTTGTTAAAAAGTTTTTCAGAGAAAAACAGGTATGTCAACTCTTCACTGTTTTCATGTACTGCCTCCTCGAATCCTCTGGTTAGACTGAACTTTAATAACTGACCCTCCACTAAAAGCACTATACCATACTGAACACAGGCCCATTTAGCCCATCAGCTGGACTGCAACTGAATAGCCCTGGATACTTCACCAAAAAGCCCTAAAAAAGCTTAAATTGGTGTACATATAGAATAAGCAAATCACTTGATATTTACTTCCCAAATCCTGGCAGACAGGAAACTTACAAGAAGAATGTAGTTAAAGGCTAACTGAATAGAAGACAGGCAAATCACACAGAGTGCCACAGTCAGTCTCCCTCACCCCCCATCCCTTGCTGAGGGAGGAGCTTCACTATAAGCCTAGCCACAACAGCACACATGACAAGAGCTTCTGTATCTCGGTTCACATTACCATCAGTTCCACCTGGAACCCTGTGGGCAGCAGGGCTTGCCTGTAGCCCACACACACTTCTCCCACGACAGCAGGACTAGCAGAAAGCACCCTCCCACACAGCAGCAACGGTATTTAGTAGATACCAGACTTGGGCCTTTGTTTCACAGGTGGCTTCTCATCATCTGAGCTGTCAGACGAGTCCTCACTACTGGAACTTTCCTTGGCACGTTTGTTTTTTCCGGGACATGCTTGAGTGGCTGCAGGTTTCAGCAGAGGTGATTTCTTGGGAACAGCCTTAACATAACACATTAAAAAAGGAAGCTGCAGAAATCTTGTGGAAACAGCTGGATGTGGATCTTGGTTAACTCTACACTTCACTTAAGACAGCAAATTCCAAAGACAAAGGGAGTGAGATTAACAAAGATTCTCAAAAGCAAAATTTAGCAAACAGGAACATCATGATGTTTCTAGCCAACAAATCCCTGAAGATGAGCTCCTCCTGACACAGGGGCATAGAACTGACTGAAATGGTAACTCAAGTTACAGACAGCAAAGCACAAGTCATGCAAAAATGAACATATAATGAATATGGTTATGACACAACAAGATGTTTTCCTGTAAAATGAAGCAGCATAGAAAACAGTAAGGAGGTATTAGGGAAGAAGCAGTGCATGGAGAGGTGCTAGAACACATAATCCCACTGTATAAATGAGAAGGAGGTATAAGAGGTATGACGAGCACAGCACCTGTGCAGTCTGTGCCTGCAAGATGATACACCCAGTCTTATGAGACTTCTACAGTGTTCATGAAGGTTTCCACGATCCAATTTACCTTTTTTGATGCCTCTTCCTCATCCGAATCTTCACTACTGCTGCTACTGCTTGCTGCTTTTCCATTGACAACCTTGGTGGCTGCCTGGGCAGGTTTACTTCCTTTTGAGAGAAGAAAAAAGGGACATTACAAAACATGCCATGGAAGAAGAGGGATAATTATGTTGGGTATAAAGTATCAGAGAGAAAAAAGCCACAGGGAACCAATAGGGCAGATTAAGACAATACCACAGAACTGCTGGTTTATCCTACTGCAAGTTTAAGAGAGTTTTCTGAAAACTGTCTATTCTAGCCCACTGAAGTTCCAAAATGTGTTGGTTTTGGCTGGGGTAGAGGTAACTTTCTTCACAGTGGCTAGTATGGGAATATGTTTTGGATTTGTGCTGAACACAGGCTTAATAACGGAGATGCTGTTGTTATTGCTGAGCAAAGCTTACATAGAGCAAAGCCCTTTTTTGCTTCTTGTTCTGCCACACTAGCAAGGAAGTTAGGGGTGCATGGGAGACTGGGAGGAGACACAGCTGGGACAGGTGACCCAAAATGACCAAGGGGATATTCCATACCATATGATATCAGCTCAGTACATAAAGTGGGGGGAAGAAGGAGCAAGTGGAGGGATGTTCAGAGTGACAGTGTTTGTCTTCCTTGGGAAGTAATGGTTATGTGTGATGAGGCCCTGCTCTCCCAGAGATGGCTGAACACCTCCTGCCCATGGGAAGCAGTTAACTAACTTCTTGTTTTGCTTTGCTTTTGTGCACACCTTTTGCTTTCTCTATTAAACTGTCTGTATCTCAACCCACAAGTTTTCTAGCTTTTACCCTTGTGATTCTCTCCCCCATCCTGCTGCTGGGGGAGTGAGCGAGCGGCTGTGTGGGGCTCGGTTGCTGCCTGGGGGGAAACCATGACACAAGACGAAAGGCTAAGATCTTTCCTGGTTTTTGAGGAGAAGGCACTAGCAAAAGCAAAACTTATGCAGCTAAGGTTGCTGACTACATCTACCTATGCAAACACTGCAGCATTCAGAACCAGATGTTTAATTCTGCAATCAGTTCTAAGCCTCTTCTATGTCAGAAGCAGCCTGGACTAGAGTACAAACAGCAGTGACAGCAGATTTTCAGACTGCTATATTAACACATATGTCTTTTCATGTAGGTACAGTCTCCAGCACACTCCTGCCCTGGCTTTTTAAGTTTTGCACTTTGATTCATGATACACAGTAAGAAGTACCTGATTTAGGTGTTGCTGGCTTTGGTGGCTGTTTTTTTGGTGCTTCTTCATCTGAGCTGCTCGAGTCAGAGCTGGAACTCTCTGCTTTCTTTTGAGGCTGGATTTTGGTTCCAGGTGACTTCACCGCGAGTTTTACACCTTTCTAAATAACAGAAGGAAAAACTCATTAGCCCTCAGTTATGAAAATAAAATGAGGCTAATAAGTGGGACACATGTACAGAGAGTATAAACAGCTGTCTTTCACATAGATTACCATTATGGATTTGAAAACACCATTCTGCCTACAGGTCAAGGTCTGAAAATCCCTGGATAAGAATTTTGCTCTGGAAAACCTCCTATAAACCCATGAGAAACTTTCACTGCACCTCAGACTTCAGTTCTGCCTCCTCAAAATGGGGCATCTCTGAGGCTGGTACTGCTCCCTCCCTTGTACAGATCACGTAAGTCTGACAACTGAAAATACTGACTGGGCAACTCTGGTTGGTCTCCTCTAGTGTATATTGACATAATTTTTCCTCCCCCCCACTTCTCAAGACCGTGACTGCAGCAAGGAAAAAGAACGAGAAGACTCATTTTTTATGTAAACACAACTTCATTTTAGTGCCTGTAAATAAATCTTTCTCTGAAAAAACGTAAGCCCTGACAGTCTTGGGATACAAGCAAGGAGTAGACTTGGATATGAAACAAACTGGGTACTAGACAAGAAATTCATTTTTCCTAGAACTGGCAATGGCACATTGTCCACTACAGAAATGTTTTCTTGCATTGCACCTGCAGCAGCCTAGGCACTGCATCTATTTATCACTGTCACACACGCATTAAAGAGGCTGGGAAGAAAAGCTGACCTTTGCTGGCTTCTCCTCCTCTGAGTCTGAATCATCGCTGGAGTCCTCACTGCTGCTCTCTGCCTTCTTGGCTGGAGGAACTGCTTTTGCCTTGGGCCCAGCTGCTGCTTTAGCTGCAAGTAAGGGACAGCACACACTGATGACAAGTTAATTCACAATCTTCATATATGTATATTCTGCGCTATTGGGCATCAGGGAAAAAGGATATACTGAGGTCATTAAACCATGACTGAAGGTCCCAACACTGACTGTTTTTTGAGCAGCACATGGCAGGCTACTCCAGAAGGGTTAGGCAAGAGGATAACATCAATTCTAGATTTTATCTTTGTCATATACACATTGAAGTGCAAAATTCTATCACGAAAAAGGACATCCCACAAAGAAAGTGCCCTCACAAAGTGAAATG